AATGGTCAGATAGAGTCTAAATTGAACCGAAGACTTTCTAATTTGGCCCGACAAGAATGACACAGATTTGAGCAGATAATTGTATTCCAAATTGGCCAGAAACGCAACAAAATCGTATGTTTCTACATCATATTTTGACATTTCAGCCATTTTTATAATTTTCAACCGTTTTCAGTCGTTTTTAGTCTCTTTCCATCTTTTTTCGTCATTTTTGGTCTTTTCAGTGTTTCAGTGGTAATTCACCCCTTGACGCGGGCACATCGTTGGTGATCAAATTCGTTATGGAATGATTTGCGGTAATGTGTGGAAAACGACGAATATATGTTTAGATTTTAGACGATAAACTGTGTGCTTGTGCGTGTGTGTTTAGATAAATCGCTACCTCCTACCCTATGAATATGCCGGCTCGTTCATATGCATGTGTGTGTAAAGCAGTTGGAGTGTATAATCGCAGTCTCTTGATTGTAATTAATTGTATTTGGTTTCGACATTGTGAAATCCGCCGCTGCTTTCTCTCTCACACTCACACTCTCACTCTCTCTTCCCTTCTATCTCTTCTGTTCTCGCGTTCGATACATATCTTACGATAAAAATGCTCGAGCGCACAATTCACTCAAGCTCAGCATAACATAAAACGATGAGAAGAAGGAGAAGAAGAAAAAAGTTACATATCAGCATAACGCATTTGCCTTGAGTGATTTCACTTTGTTCGATTTACTATACATCATGGCCATTATGAAGATTGCGGCTCTGTGTCCAGTTATGAGAATTCAACAAAGCTATTGCGATTATTTCCTCAAAACTATTTTGCTGATGGTTGTACACACTTGCAATTTTTTCCTTTTTTCATTGAATACGTACAGCACAAATATGGAGACGTCAAAGTAGACAGTGGCAAGTGCATATGGTTTGATTTCGACGAATTGAACGCAATAAAAACGATCATCTCATACAACTCAACTGACCTCATGTATAAATTAACTCTGTACACACTGTACGAACGCATGACTTTTCGTCAAAATCAGATGCCATCCTCTGCTCGACTCGACCATCTCGGTGTTAATATCTTTGGAAAATTTCGGTTTCACATTTCAGTATCACATGCTCAGTTTTCATCTATGTTAATTAAATGATAATATTTAACAATCCTTTTATTTGAGATTTCTTGTGGTTGTGTTATATCGGAACAAATTCATACCAATTTCACACACACATAGTCTGCGTACGTGCGAGTGTGTGTATATTTATATATGTCTGTGCTCACAAGTATGCGTTCAAATTTCGCCCGAATCAGACAGTTAATTTTCTTCAAGGTAGATGGAAATTGATTATCGGATTTGATTTGTTACATCACATTTATGTGTGATACCTTTTATTGTGTACATCAGAGTTCTCAAGCCCGAACAATATACACCGTACTAATCCTATCAAATTCATGCTTACTTCCGATTAAACGTATCGATTTCTCGAGATGCTCACTGTGGTTTTGATAAGATTGTTTCATGCACAATTAAAATCGATACAATGTACGAGTTGTTGTTCTTTTTTCTTTTTTAAACATGTCATACTTATGTCAACATCGGTTGACGGTTCTTCATTATAATAATGATAAAATAAAACATATAATTCTTTTTGTTTCTTGATTAACAAAATGATAATAAACATTTATGCGGTAGCGATTGCAAGCGCACGTGTATATGTGGTTCAGTGATTATTTCTAGACTCGGAATTGGGACTGTACTTGCGGTAGAAGGTTTATTATATTAGTTTAGTGTTATTTTTTTTTGGATTGTTTTCAATAGAACGAATTACGATACCGCAGTGCATGCTTTTCGACAAACACCCACAAATGAAGCACGAAGCCGCACGAACAGACGCAATCTGTGCACCATTATGATGAATGGCTGAATTCAAGCATAAGTAAATTAATAAACCAAAGTGGTTTCATTTTCATCCATCAACCACACGCACACAATATGGACAAAAAGCTCATTTCGCGCACACGAATTTCTCTCTCTTTCTCTCTTTATCATGTAATCGCATATAGTCTCACATACAAAGAGAGAGAATCAAACTTGTACTTTAATTAAATTTATCATTAATACATCGTGACTTATCACTTTTCCATAAAGCAATTTGTAATCACTACCTGTATGATGAGATGACTCCAGGTGGTGGTGGTAGTGTATGCGTACCATTTGCCAAGTAGAGTACGAGCGGTGCTATTGATTTGGAATAGTTGGCTGGTTTGGAAGCGAGCGTGTGTGTCCATGTTTTGGTATTCAAACAAAACCAAATTAGACTTTGACGCAGTGAAATAATACGGTTTTCAATGATAAGGTTGTTTGAGATTTGTTTTATTTACACATGTACTATTTTACTGGGAATTTGTTGTGCCATGCCATACCATGCCATACCATGCCATGCCATGCACACCATTTAAATTCGACATTGGATCTAAATGAGTCGATATACAGTTAAAACCCACATAGAGGAAATGAAAACGATAATAATTTCTGGAAAGTGTGTGCAACATTGAAGTGCGCGCCGTGTCGTTCATTTCCTATTTGAATTTGTTGCATGGTTGGTGAAATAAGATCATGCGGCGAGTGGGAGAGCAAGGGCGAGAGCGAGATAGAGAACGGGAGCTATAATGACGTTTGTAAGATCACAATGGCATGGCTTTTATGGATGTTCATTTATTCATGTTTTATGGGCCATATTCCATTCACTTAGTTTGCGCACCATTGCACTCTTATCCACCTCTCCTGTGTGTATGTGTGTGTGTCACTGACGACAAACAAACACCATTTAAAACCATTATTGCCGACTAAAATGTGAAACTATTTTATGGGTTTTAACAGATTTTACTACACTTTTCCATCACTCCCACCACTCACATAAGCCGGTTAGGTAATTCCCAATTCGGATTGTACAACAATCTCTTGTGCTCTCTCTCTCTCCCTCTCACTCTTTCACTCTTGAGGCCAATGTTCGAAAACTTAATTTGACTCAACCAGCAAAACGTGAACACTAAGAGCAATGAAATACCATATATCCATTGGGTAATACGATGAGATCAAACATATTACAGTGCACGCGACAACACATGAATGACAACTTCATTTTGATTTTTGCAAGAAAATTATCAGCACGAGGAAAAAGCGACTATATAAATCATATTAAGGTTTGAATTGGATCGTTCTTTCTCATTTTTATTCGTCGTCGTGCTCTCACATTTTGATTTTCCATCCTCTTGAACATTCCGTAAACAGAAACGAAATTGCTGACCTGGTAATAAATTGCACACAAAACATTGTGTACGACATACTTAGAATGGGAATGGAACGTGGAACAAGAAGTCAAACTCATGCAAGTGAAAAAAAGGAACAAAAACAAAAAAATCATACACAAACACACTCACACAAAGAAAACAAATAAAATATAACCATAAAAGCGACAACAATAATGGAAACTTTGTTTGTTTTCTCGTCAAAAATCGGTAGCATTTCGTTGTTGCCATTGCTTGATTTGTGTCCTTTGTGGGTTATTCGTCTTCTTTTCGTGTCCATTTTGACAGAGGACTTTGACTGGTACTTCTATTGCTATTTGCTGATACTGCTGCTGCTGCCCATACGACAGAAAGAGAGAGAGAGAGAGAGAGAGAGAGAGAGAGAGAGAGAGAGAGAGAGAGAGAGAGAGAGAGAGAGAGAGAGAGAGAGAGAGCAGAAAATCAATTCTCACAGCCAAACCGAAACCTTTGTGCCGACGAGATGTGTGTCTGCTGATGCTTCTGAGCATACCAGCCATAATTCAAAGCACCAGACGACTATCGTTGACTCATAGCCAATCTAATATCATGAATGAAGCGCATAACGACAAAATGGACAGAAGTGGATTGAAGAAAATGAAGAAACAAAACAAAAACAAAATCAAACACGAAGCAGAAGAAGAAAAAAAACACGTACCACAAAAACATAGCGCGAAAGAAAGTAGAGAGAAACAATATAAATATTTATTTTGTAACGAAAAATATTCGTTTGTATGCCGAAAAATTGTAACGTGCGTCATATCGTTCTAATATCACAAAATGCACGTACATCGACTGAGTGAGAGTGAGACTGAGTGTGAGAAATAGAGAGAGAGAGACTTACTGCAGTTCAATGAAGAACGAGAGCGAAAGAATGGAATGAGTTTAGCTGGATGGAAATATCAAACGAAAATCAACAAAAACGAATCGAGCCAACAATAAAATATCTGGCGAATCAGCGAAATTCTCATTCCAAAAAGCGAACGCATACACAAGTGACTACTTGACTCTTCGCTTTTTCTCTCTCGCCCATTTGCCACACACGAAATATTCTATTTATAAACAATTTTCTAAGTGGAAAACAACAACCATAAACAATCTGAACTAAAGAAGACGAATAACAAAAGAAAAAAACGCGAGCAGCAACACAAAAAAAGAGAGATGTATATACATTTCGATTACGATAACAAAACGCGCCGCATGAACGGGCAAAAGCATAAGCAGCAAAGCGCACTTCATTTTTTCTCTGCATTGACTTGTTGCGTATGTTTTTCATTGTTTCTGCCATTTAGTGGGCGATTCACTGGAATTTCTACTATTTGCCAAAACAAATTGAATCGGCGTTTAGATTGATTGCATAAAACCGCCATAGAAATGGATTACCATCGGAGAGAAATGTGCAACCGGGTCATTGAAAGAACATCATTTGTTCGAAATTGAATTTGGAGCTGAGCATGGCTGTTGCACACTCCAAACACATGCACAAACTCGAATATGAGTGTACTTGAGCGCATATTTTCGAGACTTCTACGTATTTTATTTGTATAAATTTTATTGTTGATGCTAAAACAAAACGGTGTTTTCATTTGTTTTATATTTTTCCCTACTTGAATTCATCAACATCATGCTAGAAAAAGAACGAAATGAAACTAAATATAAAATCAACCGTCAAAGTATACTCGTTTGATATTGCCGTGGCAAAAATTGAGCGCAACGTACACAGTTTGCTGAGTTGCTGCCACATACTCTCGACACATTCCTCTTCTTCATCGTCATCATCATCTCTTTGCTATTGAAAAATCAGTGTTCAGTTTTCATTTCGGTTTGTAGTTTTATTTTTGGAATTGTGAACGCTTGATTTGAATGTAGTTCGCGCGTTTGCATTTTGTTGAACATCGACAACCGAGCGAGTGAGAAAGAGAGAGGGAGAGACGAAGAGGAAGAAACTCCTGAAATAAAAATAACAACTGGAACAATAATAAAGGTAATAAATTGGTAAGAAAGTTTTCGCTATTTTCATTTTGCAAGCAATACCGTTGATTTTGCCATCATGTTGTTCTTTCCGCATTTTGAATGAAAATTATGTGGAAAAATATGCACAAATCCATGTGTTTTGAATTGTGGTTTTGCTGGAATAACGGAAATGTGTGGAATATTATTTCGAGCTCAGATGCTGCAAAAGCGGAGATAGAGAGCGAGAGCGTGCGCGGATGATTGAGCGTGCAAAAGAGACCATGAGAACGAGAGTACGATTGAATTAATTAATCCATATCATAACGAAGGACGATAAATGAAATCTAGAGCAAAGTGAAAAGTGTTTTTAATTGTTTTCACTTAACAAATGCATACGAAAATTATTTGCTAATTAAGGTTTCAGGGACACGCAAATAAACACCGCATAAAATTCAGGTTTCGTTGTGCAAAAACATACACATCTACAGCAAAAAACCCACAACTTTTGCTTCGTTTCTCACATTCAGTGCTACAGAAATCTGATTCAGTCCATCCAATTAATGACCATTTGCATTAGAATCGTGCGTACCATTCTCTCGCTCTCGCTCTCGCTCTCAATGTTGTGCCACAAGTTTTCTCAATGGTATGTCGGATGACATATGAATTTGTGCTTCGATGAAATTGCTCGCATTTATCATTCGAACAAAAAAAAGACACACATTTCAATTAACGTGTTGTGTTTTCCATTTTCCGAATTGATAAGAATTATTCAAGTTCCATACTTGGATACTTGGTAATAATAACAACTCGGTATACATTTGAAATTGGTTTTCTCTACATCATTTCTCTCTCTCTCTCTCTCTCTCTCTCTCTCTTTGTCTTGTTCTCTCTCTTTCTCTCTCTCTCTCTCTTTCAAAATAGATGATGCACCAGTGCTTAGCTTTCGTTGTGACAATTTTAATTGGACAGTGCTTGTGTGTGGTGCCAACGCAATATGGTGCTGTACCAATCAAGCATCCGGAAGAGCGTCCGACTGAACCGTGTGTCGAATGGACCGGTGGCACATTTGAATGGCCTTGTGCCCAAACCAAATCATTGTACAAAAGTAGCGGCAAGTATATTAGTAAAAATGTGATTGCAACGAGAGCCCAAATCGTTGGCGATAACGTGTATGTGGCATTGCCACGATACAAGAGCGGAGTTCCAGCCACACTATCGCGCACACAATTCCGAAAGGGCTCATGTGCTGCAACACTATCACCGTTCCCATGTTGGAGCATGCAGGAGGAAGGCAATTGTCAAGCATTGCAATCAGTTGTCGATATTGTGGCCGATCGTAATAACATTTTGTGGGCATTGGATGTTGGTGTGGTATCGACGTTAGAGACACCAGTGCGACGTTGTCCACCAAAAGTGGTAGCAATCAGTACAAAAACGGGCAAAGTTTTGAAAACTATTTCGTTGGAGAAATTGGTTGCGCCCACATCACGTTTACAATATTTGACCGTTGACTATAAATCGGAAAATCGTTGTTTCATTTACATAAGCGATGCCGCACAACGATCGATTCTCGTGTATGATGTGCAAGCTTCACGTGGTTTTCGCGTTGTTCTACCAAAAGTTGTCACCAATGGTTGCCCAAAACGTGATGTTCTCTATTTAGCACTCATCAACCGTACCAATGGCACTTCATCGCTCTATTTCACCTACTTAAGCTCAAAACAATTATTTGTCATCAGTACGGAGTACCTACGAAATGGTAACATCCAAGGACGTATCACTGGTAAGTAAACAGTTGGTTTTGTGTGTGTGTGTGTGCTCAATCTTCTCTTTGTTGGAGCTGACAATCATTTCAACAAAAAAAAAACCGAAATACGATATAATGCGTTTATTCTCTATTTTCCCCGCTCGTGCGCTCTTCTCTCTTTTTTTTGCAAATCAATGCTGATTCTGCAGAAGTGGGCAACAAACCAAGCAAACAAGTTATCATTGGAACAGACAATGGAGCAGCACTGTTCTTCCGTTACGAAGGACAATCCGAAGTATATCGATGGGATACCAACACCAAATTTAATGAGACCAATTTCAAAGTTGTTTATCGCTGTCAAACATGCCAGCTGGCAACACATGCCCTGGCCGATTACAATAACAAACGGATGCGAGTCCTCGAAAGTAACTTTCCCGATTTTCTACAAAATACCGTCGGATGCGGAGCAATCCAACAGTTGTCTATCATGCAAGGATGCTGGTCTTGATTCACACGATTTTTGAATATTTTCCCTTTTTTTATTCCCTATTTATATAAGTGTGATATAGATTTGTATTCTTGCTTTGTTAAATACACGTATTTATGAAATGATAATCCGAAAAAAAGTCTCTCATTTACGTAATTTTTTTTGACTTCAGTTTTGCAGTCTCCAGTACCAACGTATTTTAACATGGTTTTCAGGCAACGAATATTCATCCCTTTCAATGTTTTTAACACGGTTGAAAAGTTAAATTGAAAACTCGAAAATCTGCTGACCTTTAATTTACCTGAACTTCATAATCTGCGCTCATTTCACGCATAGCAACGCAATGGAACCAAATAAATGTGGGATATAAATCAGAATGCGGTCAAAAGTGAAGCGAACAGTTTTTAGCGGTTTTAAGTGAGTATCAGGGGATGGGGGGAGGCAAATGGAATTCGAATAAATTATCTTTGCGCAGATTTTGTGAGCATATTTCATTACATTTACAGTCTTGAAACTTCTTAATAAATTACACAGTGACTTGATTTTCGTTTTCCAGCACATTTCAGCTGAATGTTTGCATTGTTTCCGTTTTAGCTTTTCAGCCTATTGAAACGCACTCACGGAATAATGGAGAGCCGGAAGATAAGTGAGTGCGTGTGTGTGTGTGAGAGAGAGAGAGAATGAGAGAGAGAGAGAGAATGAGAGTGATAAGGAGAGCTAACCGTTGAGTTTATTTTCATATTCAGCCAGAAATATAGGTTGATGGAGCCAAAATAGAGAAGGAAAAAAGAAGTGAACGACTCTCTTTCTCTGGACGAGCAATATGCAAATTGAATGAAATTCTTTTGATTATGAAATATTTTTGAGATTGAGATTTAATTATGCTATTCTGTTTTCGATGGTCGATGAAATCCAATGCGCGCACTTTGCCAACAAAATCGGCGTGTGTATATGTTGCTTTTTTGCGTCCGTTTTTTTTCTTTGGGAAAACTGTGTGTGTGTTTTAGTTCATTTTGTTTGGGCACTCCTCCGTAAAAATGCTATCTCACTCTCACTTTCATCTCATGCACACAAACTGCTATTATTATTATATTTGCATTATGGATGGAATCAAAACAAATTGGATGGTATGCTCCACTTAATGAAAACGACTCTCTCCCATTCAAAAATGATGGCACGTTTTGTCTTCGTTTTTTTTCTCTCTTCTGAATAGCAGCAAAAAAATATAAAATACGCAAAAGTGGAATTATATGCATAGAATGAAATAAAAAACAACAAACTGAATATGTGGCTCCCCATTTCCCTAGGCATATGCAATAAATAACAATATTTTCATTTTCAATACGTCTTCGATTAGCTTTTGTTTGTTTTTATCTCGATAACTGTTTGTAATGGTCTTATGTCTGGCAGAGACACATGTATTGTTTTTTTTGTTCGTTCTAGAGCCCATTTTACCGAATTTGATGGATCGAAAAGCACTCAATCGATTGAGGCCAACAAAATATCCACCAAACGTATGTAGTGTAAAAAAAAAACAAAACAAACCAAAACCAAAACCAAATCGACAGAAAAAAAAAATCATCGGCATTCCGATTGTTTGTCCGATTATTTGTGATGACATTGGAAAACCACAGGAATGGTCTGCTGCCTAATAGAAAATCTGTAGAAATAATCTTGTCAAATTATTTTCAGTCTGCGTCAACTCTTTTTTCTCTCTCCCTTCGCCGGGCGAATTGAATCTTTGTCGATCGAAAAATGTCGCTGATTACATTTCATATTGTCATCTTTTAAGCCAACCGAGTCTCGAATTCTCGACATTGATTCAAATGATAGAGCTAGTAAGACAATGACATGGCGTGCGCGCGATATCGATCGCAACCAAAAAGAACAGAAAAAAGAAACCCAAAGAAATTGAAACAAATCATTTGTATAAAGTGACTAAAAGGCGTAACCGGCTCTCCGTAGGTGGTACAGACACAATCGAAACCACTTTGACTCGCAACTGCCAGAGAGAAAAGAGACGACAACACACAAACAAACAGATAAACAAACAACCCGCCGATGCTATCAAGATACACCAAGTGGTAATCAATTTTTTTCCACGCTCCTTCATTCCCGTTCATTCAAACTTGATCTATTGTTCGAAATAATATTGATATATTTTTCCCATGTGCCAAATTTGAATTGATTCATGTCGCCCTTCATCTATCTCATCGATTGCCATCAAAGTTGCAAAACTTCTGCCAGTGACATGATTCATTCATTCGATGCCTAGCGACAAAGCATATAAATGTATATTAACAAACTGTTTGTGTGTGTGTATGCTACGGAAAAGCACAACTGGCTTAGGCTCAGCGCATCCGATGAAAAAAAAAACGAAAATATTTTCGAATTCACACAATTTTTGTTGTATCGTTTGTTGTTGAATCCAAATCAAATAAAACGAATCGAAATGGGATGGAAATAGAATAGAATGAATCTTGCGCTCGCTCGCTCGCTTCGATTTGACGAAGAGACAGAATTTCGTTTGGATGTGTATACGAACAGCGCAAACACATCCAGGAAATGAATTGTGCGTACAAAATGAAAATTGTAATGAATATTTATGTGCAAATGTTCCAAATTTTACCTGCGATTTTGGTATAACAGCCAAATTTACGTTTTTCAGATCTTCAGCAGTTTTTTTTTCTTCTCTCTTTTCGTTCACTTCCTTCTTCATCTCTTTTTTATTCTTTGAAATGCTTTTTTTCCGCCGCCGTCAGCACAGCAATTGTCGGTGTGTATATGTGATGTTTTTCATTTACAATGTCATCCGATGATAACCATTTCTGAACAAATTTTCATATTTCACAAAAGCATTACGTTATCACTACACCATCAAAATCGGAACTGGTGTATCTCTGTAACGGTTGTTTTGATCCCGGTTTGGTTTCTTTCCCGTCTGCATTTTTAAAGAGAGATAGACACTTTGTGAATGTGCGCCATTTTTCAGACATATTTTTTCTTCGTTGTTGTTATTGTTGTTATTGTAAAATTTTCTCTCACCTTTTGGCTGCCAAAATGCCAAATGAACAGCAACTTTGAATCCTTTTGAGATTTGCTGAAGTGGCAATAAATCGCAATTTTTTCGTTTTCATATACCTATCGAACGCATCGAGACAAACGATGGAATGAAAAATCGAAAGCATCGAATTGACATAAATATTGCTTGATGAACTGATAATAACTGGTTTGAAATATGTTTTAGTGTGTATGATGTATTGCAAGCAATAGATGTGTATATTGTATAACGACATCGATTCTCGGCTGGTTTGATGTATTGTGTAACATGTGTGTAACATTCATCCATATTGAAAAATTCGGACACTTTCTTCATTCTTGTCACACAGAGCACACACTCACACACACACACGGAAGTTTGAAGATACACACTGAACTCCAGCTCTGTCTACCTCTGTTGCTCTCTGTTTCTCGTCAACGTATTTCTATGTTTCGGAAACACAAATTACGAAAATAGAGTGGAAACCGTTCAATGGTATTGCTTGATGTCTTTTCACTGTGTTGAGCAATAGAAAGCGGCAATGGGAAATTCGTTTAGTTATTAAGATGATGATAATGGATGGGTATCGACACCAGTTCTTAAGTGATTCCTAATTAGCTATAAAACTTTGAAGACATCAAATCTAAACGACTGTCTAAACGTACGAATGATACCTTGGATAATTTCCAGTGTCATTAGATTTGGTAGAATGTTTGTAACAAAACGGGTTATACTTTCGTCGAGCGTGTGCCAATGATGCCCAAGACGGCTATGAAAAACACATACATTGAGTTGAACCGATGACACCAACGACACCGATGACTCTTTTGAATCCGGAGTGCATATTTAAATTTTCGCCAACCAAGCGTCAAAATCACGGTTCATTCGGCTTTGAGAGAAGTTCGGAATGGTAAACATTGTTTACTAAACAAGTAGGAATTGTGAATGCCGTGCGCAACCAATAATTCTACGAACTAGAACATTTTCAGGGAATAAATTAGGTGTCAGAAGGAGAGAACGAAAAGACATATGAACCCGTGAGCATAAAAACGACTTATTAAACAATCGCCGAACAAAACGATACAAGAAAAAACTACCAAACAAAACACACGTTAAAAACGTAACACAGCAGGACGGTACCGTTCAAAACGAAACTCCGCTGTGCTACACATTACCGCTGTGGTACGTTTTGTTCGGTAGTTTTTTCTTGTATCGTTTTGTTCGGCGATTGTTTAATAAGTCGTTTTTATGCTCACGGGTTCATATGTCGATGGTGTAGGATGGCGTGTGTAAGTGTGTGTGTGTGCGCGTGGAGGGAATCGAACTTTGCCATGAAATGAATCTCATCAATATGGTGTACGCAGCATGTTGATAAGATGTAAACGAAAACGAAGGAAGACGACGACGATGACGACGAAGAAAGAAGATAAAAACGGCAACATCAACAGCAGAATGAAAATCGGTATTCAAATGTTTGCACGTGGATCTGTTTTTGATTTGGTCGTCGCTTATTCATTCGCCCCAGTCCCGGACACAAATAATTCATATTACCGATACGGTTTATCTTGATTTAGTGTTCACTTTCGGCAATTTCCTGCCAAGATAAAAGCGCGCAAAAAACTACTGTGGCCGAAAGAAGAGACAACAACAACAACATCGACGACAAACACGAAGACGAAGAAAAAAGACTTCGATGGAGAAAAAAACCCAGTGGCAGGAATAAATTGTGAAAATCTTTTAATGATTTCGTTACCATTTCTTTTTATCAATTTTTATCTCTTGTCGGTTAATATGCAGTTTTGTGGAGTATATTTGTTAAGAATTCACAGTTCTACAGCCTTGAACCAAACGTAGCCACATTCTCGTTCATCTGGCAACGCCAATTACTTCCTCAAGTAGAAAACTTTTAATAGAGATTATTTATCATTAATTCCCGTCAGCATCACCTGTGCAAAAGAAGGCAGACTAAAAAAAGCGCAGACGAGAAAATGGCCCGACCCAAGTGGCTTGCAAATTGTCAAATGTGCTCATTCTCTCTGTGTGTATGGTGCTGTTTTCTGCCGCATTAAACATGGATTCGACTATTCCATGCATATGTT